GCGTGTTTCGCAGATCTTCTGCGAAACTGTCGCCACTTTCGTGGGCTCCTGGGAGGCCCAGCGGGGGTGCGTCTTACGCAGACCTCTATGAAACCTTCTGCGAACCCGCCGCCACTTTCGTGGGCCATTGGGTGGCCCAGCGGAGGTGCGTCTTACGCAGATCACCATGAGACCTCGCCGTCCCCTGGAGGGGTTTCGATCTGCGAAACGGTCGCCACTTTTGTGGGCTCCTGGGGGGCCCAGCGCGGAGGTGCGTCTTACGCAGATCACCACAAGACACTTGGGAGGCTGCGATCTGCGAAACGGTCGCCACTTTCGTGGGCTCCTGGGAGGCCCAGCGGAGGTGCGTCTTACGCAGATCACCATGAGACCTCGCCATTTTCTGGGGGGCTGCGATCTACGAAACTTGTCGCCACTTTCGTGAGCTCCTGGCCCAGCGGAGGTGCGTCGTACGCAGATCACCATGAGATCTCGCTGTCCCCTGGGGGGCTGCGATCTGCGAAACGGTCGCCGCTTTCTTGGGCTCCTGGGAGGCCCAGCGGAGGTGCGTCTTACGCAGATCACCATGAGACCTCGCCGTTTTCTGGGGGGCTGCGATCTACGAAACTTGTCGCCGCTTTCGCGAGCTCCTGGGAGGCCCAGCGCATGTGCGTCTTACGCAGATCACCATGAGACCTCGCCGTCCCCTGGAGGGGTTTCGATCTGCGAAACGGTCGCCACTTTTGTGGGCTCCTGGGAGGCCCAGCGGAGGTGCGTTTTATGCAGATCACCATGAGACCTCGCCGTTTTCTGGGGGGCTGCGATCTGCGAAACTTGTCGCCACCTTCGTGAGCTCCTGGGAGGCCCAGCGGAGGTGCGTCTTACGCAGATCACCATGAGACCTCGCCGTTTTCTGGGGGGCTGCGATCAGCGAAACCGTCGCCGCTTCCGTGGGCTCCTGGGAGGCCCAGTGGAGGTGCGTTTTACGCAGATTACCATGAGACCTCGCCGTCCTCTGGGGGGCTGGGTTGCGACGTTGGGGGGGGGTCCAGCGGCGCTGCTCCCACGAACTATGTCTCCAATCATCTCTCCTTATTGTGTTTCCAAACTCCCTCGTGGCCGCCTTCCTGCCAACGATCTGACTCTGGAGAGCGACGCCGCATATGTGAACATGTGACTCTGGCCCGACGGTCTTTGGCGATTCGTTCAAGGGCACGGCGGATCCTTCAATGCTCACTTTTGTATTGAGCGGTCCGATGTATAGTCGCCTCATGTGTACAATGGGTTGGTTACGTCCCTGGGTGTTTTTTACATGCTTTCGTGATTCTCGATTTTGAAATGCTTACGGCATCTATGGTTTTTGACGGGTTTCGGCATGCGCGCGCGTCGACGCGCGCGTGAGCACTTCGTCCCGCTTTTTTCAAAGGGATCTGATGATTTTTGATAAACGAGTGTGCGCGCATAGTGTTTTTTTGCAGAGGATGAAAGGGGCGTGAACTCCGGCCTGGCTGGGATGGTATGAATTCATATCCGTGAGGGCTTCGCCCCCTGCCGCCGGCCCACTCTCTCTCATAATGGGGTATATCAGAGTCGCGTCGGTGCGTCTCGGCGCTGCTTTGGCCCATCTGGGATCATCATGTGGGGGCGGATAGGAATCAGCAGCTCATATTGAGACGTCGGCGTCAGCCTAGTGGCCTTCGGTTTATCCCGCCACCGTGCCTGGGTTGTGGGTCTGAGGCCATTTGTATATGTGTTGGGGTGTCGTGGGGAGCCTCTCGGGGGCCTCTTGGAGGCGGTTTGGGCGCCTCTTGGGGGCCTCTTGGGGCCTCGTGGGGTATTTTTTGGGCCTCTTGGAGGCCTCTTGTGCGCGTCTTGGGCGGCTCTTGCAGCCTCTTGAGGCCTCCGAGGGGCTTCTCGGAGCACAAGTATCGAATGTTCGGTTCGTGATCCCCTGCTTGGGCCCCTCTGGGGCCGTCTTGGGGCCCTCGCTTCTTGGGCCATCTTGGAGCCCTCTTGGGCCAGTTTTTGGGCCCTCTTGTGGGCGTCCTGGGCTATCGTCATGGGGCGTTCTTGGGAGCTTCTTGAGCCGTCTTGGAGCGTTGGAAAGCCGAAACTACGAGAAGGCCAAAATCCTTTAAACATTTTGGTAGCGCCTACGATTTTGGCGTTTTGGGGCTCTGTCGGGAGGCCTCTTGGAGCGCTCTTGGGGCCTCTTTGGGCCCGCTTGGGCCGTCTTGGAACAATTTTCGGACGCCTTGGAGCACTCTTGGCCTCGGCAATGCGAAGATGGCGTATTTCGCGAAGGTTTATGGCTTCGGGGACGCGAGTATTGCGCAATTTTCGAAAGCTTGTTGCCTCGGGGACGCCATAAGTGTATACTTTGTGAGGGCTTGTGGCTTGGGGAACGCGAACACTGTGTAATTCACGAGGGGTTATGGCCTCGGGGGCGCGAGTCTCAATTTCCCACGCCCCCCGGGAGTTCAGACCTCTCGATCAGGGCGTGGTAGCCGGGTTTTTGGGGGCTCCCCCCCTCGCGCGGACTGGAAGCAGAAAGCAGGACTGGAACACTGGAGACTTGAAACTGCAACTGGAGCAGGGAGCAGCACACCTCGGCCTACAGCCTGGTGGCCCCATAAGGGGGCCGGCGGATTCAGGATGGACGATGGGGCAGAATCATGAATAGATTGCAACAAGAAGAGGTGTCCCGTTCACCCGCGGGCGGGGGGTAGATCCTAATATTCTTTTAGAAAGGGGAACCTATATGGTGCAACATCTGTGGTGTAAGCATCTTCCTCAATCTTGGAGGCCATTTTGGGCCATCCGGTGCCATCTTGGAGCTATCCCCTCGGGCCATCTTGGAAATTGCCACCCCTTGCGCCCCCCACATCCAGACCCCAACGGAGGGCTTGCCCTAATATGTGCCCCCCAAAGGCCCCCCACCAAATCGTGACTGGTTCGTTGAGGCCAAACGTGGTTGGGAGCACGGTGGCCTCAAGAAACTCCAAGAGTCCCCCAGGTGGCCTCAAGAGGCGCACCAGCATCCCCCCCAAGAGGCCTTGGAGAGGCCCAGGCCCAGAGGGATGGTGGAATTAAACAATCCTTTCTTCCCGCAGTGCGATAGCCTTCGCTTGTGGCCATGGTTTCACCTAGGATACTTGGACGCGTGCGGAGGGATGGGAAGCGCACCGCGGATTTCCAGCATTGAGCCTCATGGCCTGTGGCGTGCTGTGGCGCCGTGGCTCATGTTTTTCGTGCTCTCGTGGCCGCACTGCCACACTCAGTCAACAGGTTCACTTTCTTTGGACACACCGCAGCGCGAGCGCAGCCGAAGGGTATGGTTTCACAGTCTACCGCCTGCAGCAGCAAGGCCTCGGCCACCCTCCGTATCCGCAGTGCGCCAGCGGAGTGCTGGTCGCTGCCGGCCTGCGTGGGGCAGCTCTGGCGGAGGCGTGTCCGTGGCAGTTTTGGGGCCTCGTGCCGCTCGTGTGGGCTCAGGAGCCCTCCTCCTTCCTCTCCCTCCTCTCCCCCCGGTAAAGGGGCAGACGAAGCTCCTGAAGCTCCGCCCCTCCCGTCAGCGCGAGCAGCTCCTGCGTGCAACGTGTGCGGCGTGAGTCGGCCGGTGGGAAGACGGTCTGCGGCCTGGGCGCCGAGAGTTGGAGCGGCGCGCAGACTGCTGCAGTGCCGTCGCCTTCCGTCGTCCTCCCTCCTCCGTGGGATCTGAGCGTCTTGCAGACCAGGTTGGCCGGATAGTGCCAGGTCCGGAGCCCTGGACTCGGGGAGGGGAAGCAGCCCCACCCCGACGCGTCGATCAGTGAGCTGTTCGTTTCAAGCAGTGGCGAAGCGTCCTGGCTCGCCTATAGCCGTACCAAACAATGTTCTAAGAACCTCCTGTGGTTTCCATGACATGTTCTTAGAACATTTCCGGCGGAGTCTGTCTTGTTCTGTCACATCGGGCTTATGTTCTAAAAACACCGTTTTGGTTCCCAGAACATTCTCTAAGAACATTCCGTGGTAGGACTGTAGAAATGCCGGGACGGCCGGTCCCTGCTCAACCGTTTTCAGTTCCCGAGAGGGCGCCGCGGCCGTCCTTTTCCAGGCCTGCGCCCGCCAGGTTTGGGCCCGAGGTCGCTCTCACGAAGCCACGAGCCGAGGGCCTCGTCGGGCCTGGGCCGCCCCCCCTCCCCGAGGAGGAGGAGGAGGCAGGAGGTGGAGGAGGAGGAAGAGGAGGAGGAGGAGGAGGGGGAGGAGGAGGAGGAGGAGGAGGAGGAGGAGGAGGAGGAGGAGGGAGAGGAGGAGGAGGAGGAGGAGGAGGAGGAGGAGGAGGAAGGAGGAGGAGGAAGGAGGAGAGGAGGCGGAGGAGGAGGAGGAGGAGGAGGAGGAGAAGAAGGAGGAGGCAGGAGGAGGAGAAGGAGGCAGGAGGAGGAGGAGGAGGAGGAGGAGGAGGAGGGGGGGGAGGAGGAGGAGGAGGAGGAGGAGGAGGAGGAGGAGGAGGAGGAGGAGGAGGAGGAGGAGGAGGAGGAGGAGGAGGAGGAGGAGGAGGAGTTCCTTCTGGTTCAGGGTTTGGGAAGGGTGGAGGGGTTCAGGGTTTGGGAAGGGTGGTTCCTTCCATCCCCGACGGACGCGCAGCTTGCTGTCGGGCCGCTGTCCCTCCTCGCCTCCGTTCGTCCTCCGTCGTCCTTCGTCGCCCCCCTGGCTCCTGCTCCGTGGTCTTCCAGCGTTTTGGCGCAGAGCAGGGCTCCTTGCTTTCTGCTTTGGCCATCTTTCTCAGGGACGTTCCAAGGCAACGACGTCGCCCCTGGTCAACACAATGAGTCTCACGTTTTTTTGGGGCGCGCACGCATAACCAACCATCCTTCGAATGTCGTGCTCCCATCTCCGTGACCGCCGCTATTATCATCGTGATCGTCATGATGTCTGCCATCAGCATTACCATCGTTAAGTTTTGTGTCCTAAGCATCGTTCTCCTTCTTTCACATGTGTCTTCCCCATCCCCTCCGACCCATGGCCTCGGGTGATCGCAGGCGCTGGAACTCGTGGAGCACCTGCGGCTCATGGTGAGGGAGAAGGCCTCCAGCACTGCTGTTGCACGCAGGTTGGCAAAACACGTTGGCCGAGTCGTTCATGCTCGGCTAGGTAATTATGGGAGTCCAGCAAGCTTGAATTGGAAGGGTTCGCGGGCCTTGCAGACTGAAATGGCAGGCATTCTGTAGCAGGCGTTCAATGATAGACTTTCCAAACGCTCGTCGGCCTCTCGGGGCTCGCGGGACCTCGCGGTCTTGTCGGGGCTGGCGGGTTCAAAGTAAAGCCGCTTTATTGTAACAGGTTTGTGTTCTCATGTCCACCTTGCTGATGGAAATATCGCAGCATTTCGGAGACAGCGGCTTTCGCATCACATCTGGAGACACGCGCCCCCCAAATGTACAAATATAACATTCGTGGAGGGGCCCTCGCGCTACCCCGCATGGGAGGAGGAGGAGGAGGAGGAGGATGTGGTGGCGGCCGCGGGGGCCTGCTTGCCTAGCGACGGAATGCGTTCAGCAGCATCGCGGCATCACAGTTTTAGACGGATTTGCAAATCTGCCGAAGTCGCCCAGCAGCCACCCTTTCACCAAGGGGGCCGTTGCGAGGGCGACTTGCTTTTCCCGAGTGCGACCGGCCTTTTCGGCGGCGTCAAACGGGCGACGCGCGGGCGATCCGCCTGGAGGGTGCCCGCCTCGCTCAAACGGTTCCCTGGCGAGGGTGACGTGCATGTTTGCGAGGACGGTCGACCTTTCCGACGGCCGACGCACGGGCGACGCATGCGCGACGCACTCCTTGTGGCGAAAGGGGGTTCGGCACGCCGAACGTTTAATTTGCTCTCGTCGTTGTGATTTTCTGGTGGCCGCCCGCGGGGTCTTATGTCAGGGTGCTTCTTGTTGTTGCGGCGCTGTGCTTGCCGCCCAAACTAGTTCCGGGTCTTGGTTGTGCCTGTTGTTGCGAATTTTTGGTGGCCTCCCATGGGGTCCCGGGTCCCGCTTTTCTCGCGGACGCCCGCAGGGTCCTGGGTCCAGCTGGCCCTGGGTGTTGTAATTGTCTGATGGATGGTCATGGGGTCCTTGGTCCCGCTGGCTCTGGTTGCTGGGGTTTTCGGGTGGATCCCCCGCGGGGTCTTTCTGTTGCGATTTTCTGGTGGACGCCTACAGGGTCCTTGGCCTAGCTGGTTCTGGTTGTTATAATTTTCTGGTGGATGCTCATAGAGTCCATGGACCCGTTGGCTCTCGTTGTTGCGATGTTTTGGTGGCTGCTCATAATTACGATCGTGGTCCCGCTGGTTCTCGTGCGTACGATACTTTCGTGGCTGCTCGTGCGGTCCCAGTTCCCATTGGCTTTCGTGGTTGCGATTTCTATTGGCCGCGTACAGGGTCCCATGTTCCGCTGGCTCTCCTTGTTGCGATCTGTTGGTGGCCGTCCATGGGGTCTCGGGCCACACCGGCCCTCGATGGCTCGGTGCCCTCGCCACATCATCACCGCATGAGCTGTA